CAGCCTCGGGCAGCTCACCTCAGTAAGTGGCACAGAGAGAGGGGGCGGCTGGAGTGGGAGGGGGCACAGAAAGCCCCTTCATCCCCTTGGCAGGTGGCACGAGGAGCTGCAAGGACACGTCCTCCCATGAGGGGACACGTGGAGCCAGCCTGGTGCCTCTGTCCCTGGAGCAGCCCCTGATGTGACCCTGTGCCCCCCTACCCAGATGCTCACAACCAGGCAAGAGGTCTTCACCCCCACCACCACCCTGCTCCCCACCAAACTGGAGACCTTCCCCCTGGACGTGCTGGTGAACACCTCGGCCGAGGACCTGCCGCGGGGTGTGGATCCCAGCAAGAAGGAGGTGAGATGAGGCCAGAGGGCTGCGGGGGAGGGGAACCGCAAGAAGCCCCCCAGCTTTAGCTCAGCCTCCTCTCTCCTCCCCAGCACCACCTCTCCGACCAGGACTTCCAGGCTGTTTTCGGCATGAACTGTTTGCGCCAGGCCCCCCTCCGCCTTCGGCAACCTGCCCTTGTGGAAACAACAGAAGCTCAAGAAGGACAAAGGACTCTTCTAGAGCAGGAGTCTGGGCACAGGGACAAGCCCAGCTCGTTATTTTTATTAAATAAAATGGATTTGGAGAGTGGGGCTGCATCTTCCCCCCTGACCCCTGGGATCACCTAAGGTGTGGGCTTATTTGGCAAAGATACGGTGCACAGGGGGACACAGGTCTTGACCGGGCACCGAGGCAGCGCAGGGAAGGACCCTCAGCTCCTTTTCCCTGGGTCCTTCCTTTGCCCCCCTCCTGCGCTCAGAGGCGATGCACCCCCAGGGAGCCAGGGCTCCCCCATCCCACCCCAGCAGTTGCAGCTCAGGGCTAAAGGTCTGGTATACAGCTGGAGCCACTCCCTCCGTTATCGCATGAACCTCAGTAAATACACGCGGTACCAAAGGTAAAAGTGACAAGCCCCAGGCTGAGGGGATGGCACCTGTGTGGGGACAGCACCTGCTGGGGACAGACAGCAGGGATCTCTTGTCCTTGCCCTGGGAGGGGAGGAGGGCATCTCCCTGCTACTTGGGATCCACAGGGACCCGGAGAGGGGCCGGGGGGGTCCCCCGCAGGGACACGTCTCTGGTGGGGGGGCTGGGATTTGCACGTGCCGGGAGGCGCTGAACACACACACGATGTTCCCGGGCAACTGAGCAAAGTCCCAACGGCAAATGGGGAGTGCAGGTGCGGTGTCCTACACCGCTGTCCATACCGCATCGTATGCAGCGTCCAAGAGGCAGCAGCCCAGGCAGCGTGGAAATAAGATCCCAAACCAAGAGAGGGTTAATAAAGAGGATTTAATTTCACAAAAATCTATCTACACATCATTTAAAAAGGGGTGGGGGGAACCCAAGAGCAAAAACTGTAAAGAATAGAGAGGAACAGGTCTGCTAAAACACAGAGAAAAGTGCTGCTCCACATCAACAGTGTAAAGAACCAGAAAGTCGGGGTGCAGGCAGAAACCAGCAGCGGCCACCCTGCAAGCAGGCCAGGCAGCAGACCTACATAGACAGCAGCTGCCAGGGGTCCCTCACCCCTTTTTCTCTCTTTGGCGGGCAATTACAGGGATAATTAGCTTCATTAAAAAGAAAACAAAGCAGATGAGTTACTCCAGCCCCCCCAAGCACAGCGATCCCCACGTGCCCTGCGCTGGGGTGAACGGCAGCAGGAAGCGCTGGGCTGGCCCTCAGCCCTTCCTCGGGATGCAGGACGGGAAGGAAGATGCACGGGCGATGGTTATCTGTGCTGCACCAAGCAGGAGATGGAAGGTGATGCCACGGCCACAGGCATCAGAGAGCCCCGCTCCTCCTCTTGCTCAGTTCCTCGCATCGTTCTCAGACTGCCACTCCGGTCAGGAAACCAGTCCTTGCTTTGCAAAGGCTCTTTGTGCAGCCCCGCTGCCCAGGGCTCCCCAGGGACCCGCGCACACAAGCTCCAGTTCATTGACAGGAATGGTTTTGCACCTCTCGGAGCAGGGGAGTAAATCAAGACCGAATTATCGCAAACAACAAAGGGGCGAGAGGAATGGCAAGATGGGAGTTCCTTGTATTTATATGCTGAATCACACTTGGACTAAACTAGGCTGATTCAGGAGCAGGTAGATGTTTAACCACGACTCTGTACATCTGATGAAGAGCCTGCAGGCGTTCAGGGACCGCAACGGAACTTCTCCACCTACCTATACCCCAGGACAGGTATCCCACCTGGAAGCGACGACCTCACTGAACTTGCTGCTGCGACAGCGTGAGCAGTGGGAACGTTACAGCTGGTGGGCAGCACGCCCCTTGAGGGTTACACACCCGTCTTCCTCCCACTGCTCTCGGGCAGGGAGAAAGCTGGCTTCTGCAAGGAAGGGGCTCCACGGACACTCCTGCCAGGGTGAAGGTGCAACTGAGCTGCTGTATGCCAAACAAAAAAGCTTAAATTAATTAATAGATGTCTGCAAATTCTTAATGGCTGGAATAATAAGCAAGAACTTTTCATAAAACAAGGAACCCTGGTTTCAAGCATCAGCTTTTGTACCCTGATCCAAACAAAAACTGGTTTTAAACAAAAGTTACTGCACTGGAAAGTCAGACAATGTTTGCTTTTATTATAAATTAACTGGAGTGCAGCGCCTTGCAAAAACAACCTTGCCACCCAAAAAAGCAGAGCTGACTTCTGATACTACAGGAATACCGGCTATTTACAGCACTAGCATAGGATGCGCTTGGGGAAAACAGAATTGCCTTCTGGACGGAGCAGTCCCTTCATCACATTCGCAGGGGCGATCAGTTCAAAGGACAACTCCCACGTCACCGCCTCTTCCCATCACCCAGAATTCTACCAAAATTAGTATCGACAATAGAAAAGTATAATGCTTTGTAATAAATTAACATATACACCCACTTGGGCTGCATCTTACAAGATAAACGCTCTGTCATGTTTACAACCAAACGTTCGCTCCTAGCTCGGAAACCAGAAAGATGTCACCCTGACTGGGACCATTGGGCTCATCCGATGCGTGGACTAGAAGGTCAGTCAGTCTTTTCACCACGCTGGGGTCCCCAAAGCACTCGGCTTGGGGAGGACTACCGGCAGTGATGGCTGTCGCTCACTGCTGCGCACAGAGGTGAGAAGAGGCCGCTGAGGTAGCATCCCCGTGCCAGCCCGCTAGGACAAACTCTAGTGTGGAAGCTCCCATGAAAGAGGTGCCTGCTGTCTCCTAAATTGATGGTTTTGTCTGCTTTGCTTCAGCTGATTTATTCCTGAGAAACTCCTAACGATAGTTTAAAAAACCCAGAAACTATCTCAACAGCAAAAAAAGGTGATTTTTTTGTTTTGGTTTTTTTGGTTTTTTGTTTTTTTTTAAAAGAAGCATTTCACCTCTAAAACTCAAGCTGCAAAAATCAGAACTAGAGGCCAAAACAAGAGCAACTACTCTGCTTAAAAGCAACAATTTCTCTGAAATGAGTAAATGCCAGTGAAACAAACATCTGCCCCTGCTAAATAAGTGTGAAGGTGCTGAAAAAATGAAGTCACTAGGCTTTTACCCCCCTGCTGAAACAAGCTATAAAAGAAGCATCATGTCTCTAAATCCAATAAAACACAACACTTCTTCCTAAACGTGTTCTGTTAATGCTGAACATGGGCTTTCTGAAAGCTTTCCACCTGGTTTAATTTCACAGTTTGAGCACTCCGCACTCCTCAGGAGAACAGAGGCATAGCTGCAGTAAAAACCCTCTTCCCCTGGGATACGAGAAGACCAAGGCAAGACCACGGTTCAATCAAAGAGCAACTCACCCTGCAGGCCCTGCCTTTTCGCACCGTTCCTGATTCACGAAGACCCAGGCCTGCGCAGAAAGGGTAATGCTAGAACGCTCTTTCCCTCCCAGAAGATGACAAGTGGCTGTTGCTCACCTCCTGCTACTGCTCTCGGTCTGCTCCAGGTGTTCACCTGCCCCCAGAGTTACATCAAAGTAGCCCTAAGCAATATAACTTCAGTGCGAAATACTGCACACCCAAAGAGAGACCTCTCCTCTCAAACGGTACTTATGCAACAACCTTATAAAGAAAACGCAATCAAATAATAGAACTTGTAAAACAAAAGAAATCACAAATGTAATCTCACGTCTAACGGAAGATGACAGTGAATGGTGTAAAAAAACAACAGAGCTGCCATCAGGTATGCAATACATTCCACAGCACCGACAGTTTGTTTCCTGGAACCGCATGTAAATAGCGGAGCGCTTACAAACCCATGAATGTCAAAATGCATCAGCTTGAGTGATTCTAAAACCCTTGTTAGCGAGATGACTGGCAAGAGCGTACTCAGTGATCTGGGTTTCCAGTGAATATTACTAACACAACACACGCCAGGTTACAGAATCTATTGCTTAAATTGCTCTTGGAGAAAAAAAAAAAATGCCAAGTGATATGTAAATCTTCGCCACTCACATCTCACAGGTGAATGGGCTTTTAAAGTCGAGTCTCTTTTTGCACTTTTTTTTTAAATCAGTTTATGAGCAGCTGTAGTCTTGTGGCTTGATGCAACTCTTTAAGGCTCCATGCTGACAAAATTATTTGAGGAACAACAAAAACTTCACCACAGGAGGATCGCTCTGGGATGTCAACATTTAAACACGTGGTTCAGGCCCAGGACTTGCACAGATGGTTCAAACAAATCGAGCGTCCCATATTTCTACCTTTTGTCTCTTGTTTTGGCCCTGAGCTGTTTGTTACTCCTGTGTGTCTGGCACAAGTTCAGAATCTTCCCTGTTCCTCAGGAGGAACAAGGTGTTTTACTCTTCACAGAGGCTGACGAACCGATCTTCCTACTTCCATGCTAAGTGGCTGTGCATTTTTTTCTGTTTCTAGTAACTCATCGAAGATATCCCTAGAACAGAGGGAAAGACCAATAGTGAAACTTATGTACAACAACAAACTGCTACATAAGACAGCCCTGAGGGAATCAGCAACTGGATTTAATCCACAAACTCAAGCGTCATGGATCCTGGCAGAGAAAGATGTCTTATCTGGCATCTCTAAGCAAGGCTCCTTGAATCCCACAGCACTTTTTTTTCATTTATTACAATGAATAAGGTCAGTGGTAAGCCTCAGAGAACAGTAACAATAGTGAAAATAACTCCTGGCTGGTAAAAGGATCAGAAGCAACACAGGACACAGTCTGTAGATGAAGTAATATCCTTTATTAGAGCAACAAGTATAGACAGAAGAAGGGACAAACTGAAGCGCAAAGCCCCTTCTTCAGTTCCATGTGCCTGAAAAGGTGTCACTTCTACCTACAAGCCTCATCTTGCCCGTGTCCTGAGATGATCATGGCTGCAACAACACAACTGCTAGGAGCAGGGATTTACATTTACATTTACAAATATCACAGCACTTTAGGAAAAAAATCAAGCTCCATTATGATTCCTGGTGCAATGAATGCATAGCTGAGACAGTGAATCCCCTTCTTAAAAGATGATTTAATGCATCTTGTTAAAACCCTATGTATTAGTGACATACAATTCCACGCCTCTGAACTAAGAGCACTTCAATTTTGTCATTCTTCCATATAATTCTGACTACAATTTCTTCTGACAAATACATGGATATACTTTTCATCCCAGCAAAGAGGACTAGAGGAAGAAGAGAAGCCCACTTCCTCACAAACAGCAGGTAATTATTAGCACCAAAATTCCCCAAGACACCTACTTGTGCATGTAGAAGAAGATGTAGCCGCTCCGGTCTCTGTCACACTGAACGGTGGCCTCTAGAGTTCTAGAAACTTCCAGGTCATTGTAGGTGAACCAGGACTGCTTCTTGATGTCATAAACATCACTGATATAATGACCTTAAAAACAGAGAACGAACCTTTCTTTTCATGCTGCAGTTTAACCAGTAAGCTGGTTAGCTAGATACCCTGGTCCAGCAACCTGTGTCAGATTTAAATGCTAAAAGACCCTTAAGATCCTGGTCCCTCCATCCTTCCTGGTCAATGAGCTGGTAAAAAGCACAAGCAATTCCACAGACCCCATAAGCAGTACTTTGTCCACATGCCGCAGTTAGGCACCACGACATCCTCAACCTGCTCCCCTACCAGCAAACCACGATGAAAGACTTGCTTTGCTGCCTGAATTCTTCTCTGCAAATAATCCTGCTACGGTAATTCTGTATCACAGATTTTTAAGCTAGGTAAGAGATGAAGAATAAAATACGGTATCTTTTACCTGAAGATGATGTGCTTCCGATATGGCTGACGATGCTGATGAGGCGATAGGAGTGAGGAAGCTCTCCTGTCTGAAAATGAAGTCCAATTAAAGCTTTTAGACATACACTTTTGTCCCACGTAGTTTACGGACAAGATGATTTATACACCTGAAATACAGGCTTTGGCTACTGTAATCAAAGCTGCAACCCAATCAAAGATTACAGAAACAGACCAGTTCAGACCAAATAAGGAGTCCTTCCAGAATTGGAAAAAAGCCTCCCATCTTATTTAATCTTTCAGCAAACCAACGAACATGCAAAGGAGCCATTCTGACCTCAGAACAGATGCTGACATGAGCTCTACACTGCAAAGTTTTCTAAACAACCACTTCCTGAGCGACTTCCACTGATGTCAGAATTAATCCACCAAATAAACATAGAAAAGCAAAAAGGGAACACCGCGCTTACTTGCTTACTTCTGAAATATCAAAGAAATACCCTTAATAATGGTATACAGATTTAAGAGTTAGTACCGGATATGCAGCCCAAATTCTCTCTCGTCCTGCACCTGTAATGTCAGCAGACAACGCCCTCTTTGCATGCAGGAAACATGCTCTGTCTATTCCCTGACAATAAAACTAAACGATGGTAATTGGCTTTTGACAATTATTTTTTAATCCTCTCTGACCAGGAAATATTACTGATACAATTCACTGACAATACTCTTAAAATGCAACTCTTGGCTTAAGAGTAAGGAAATCGGTAAAGAATTGTAAGAAAATAAAACTGCTAAAGGAAACTCCAATTATTTAACCTTTTCCACTCTACACAGTATTCCTTCCACTGAGGCAGGCAGGCAACTTTCACAACACCACTGTGTGGAGTCTGAGAGTGCTAGCAGCTGGCAGCACAGCCTAGGTTACAGTCACATTTCACCTAATGGGAGTAAGATCTTGTCACAACTTCTCTGTTCTGGTGGTGCAGGATCTAGAAGCCCATGGTGTTGCAATTAAACTACCACGCTGGCCGAAGTCCTCTCTCTCTAAGTAAAAATGTCAGGCCCATTGCTCTACATGCACTGGAACATTTCTGGTATAAAATTACTGTTTCCTCTGCAGCTGTTTTTTTTTTGGTTTTTTGGTTTTTGTTTTTTTTTAAATTAAAATAACACAATAGAACAGACTCTTAAGGATAGAAATTTTCTATCTTTTCACTTCTGAACATAAAAGACCTTTCTAAGACTAAACAAGTACATCTGCTCTGTAAAACTACCTCCAACAATAAACTGATGGTAAAGAGGGGGTATATTTCTCAGTTAGCTTTTGAAATCATGGATCACACCTCAGCATTTCTTTTCAGCTCTTCTGCTTCAGCTTCTGAATACTCCATGTCAAGAACATCCTCATTCCCAGAGTCTTCATCAGAACCAACGCTGTCCAGGAGAGAGCTGTTAAACTCTAGATAGCATGGAAACAATGATACTGCATGAGAAGCTGTGGCACACACAGGAATTCACAACAGGTTGAGGTATACCTACCCACATAAGCAAGCACAATAAAACACTAACATTTCAAGCTTCCTTTCCAAGGAAAGCAGGCGATATTGGAATTTCCAAATAAAATCTTCCTCTCCTTTCCCTGGCTTGTCAAAGCAATAATTGAGAAAAATATCTTCGACTACAGAATTAATTTTAGCATTGTCTTTCTCATACTTTTACAGAAGGGCACAATGGCAAGGACAGCTGGGCGATAAAAGAGTGGTTAAACACCCAATTCGCTCCAGAGCACTGGTGGTCTGCAGCCAGAACCACCATTAAAAAAAGTACAGCCAGTCTGGTCAGTGAACTGTAAGTTCCTGTAACAAGAAGCTATGAATTACAGTTTTAACTATAAGTTGCATTAACAAAGTGCATTTTTCAATTAAAACTGGCATCAAAACGCTACTGCTGGCAGCAGGCATCTTTTCATTGTTTTCAGTGGTAAGAAGACTGCTCACCGCAGGAACTTCCAGTTTGCTTGGCTGAGCAAAATGCAGGCAGCTTTCTGTAAAGAGCCGGAAGGCACCACTGCTCCCTGTACACGCTGTTCCAAACTTCCTGGGATTCTGCAGCTACCCAACTAATTTAAGATTTTGTACAGTACTCATTAGGAGAAGTAGCTATGCTTTCGCCAGCTAAATTAAAGCTATGAAATCCTGGGTGGATGAGAAGTTGAGATTAACAGGACACTACTCAGGATAATTTTTTTTTTTTCTTAAAGCCAGTTATGATGGAGATGTTTTGCCAAAGAGATCCTCATGCCACTTGCCCTGCTAAACCATCAGATGCTGGATTAGTATAATCTTCTTGGGAAGTTTATAGATGAATCCCTTTAACTGAGAATATTTTACTGCCGGTTTCCACACTTATTCAGGCTGTTGTAAGCTAGACTACAGCCAAGAAAAGCAGCCACTTAGGTAGGTCTCTGCACGAAGCACTTGCCATGGGTATTGCTAAATGCCACTTCACCAATGGCCCTCGGATGACCAGTGTTTTTTTGATTGCAGCACCACTGGGAACCTTTCTAAGACAAATACCACCAGATATATGCTCAAGATTATTAGCATCTCCTTGAACGACTGCTGGTTGATGCCTTACAAATGACACGGTAGCAAGTTGAGAAGCACAAGGCAATGCTCATGTTTAAGTCAAGCGACTGCAAATCAGGAGGAGGAAGGATTTCTAGTGCTGAACTCTTCCCGGCCATGAATCAAGGAAGACCTGAGAGGGACTGGGCACTCAGTCTGCCAGAGCTCATCAGGGGGCAGGACCCAGGCTGAGGGACATTTAAGCAGCATTCAACTTACTTCTCTTCAGAAGCAGACACAGGTTCATCCAGTAATACCTGAGGGCCTTTAAAGGTGTTTGAGCAACTATGAGTATCTTAACGCAATACTTCATTACCCCTCCCTTTTCCTCTTTGGAGCAGGAATTTTCTCTCGGTTATGCTTTGCTCTGCCAGATTGTACAAAATCACTCACATGCCAGCCTCACACAAATGTTAAACAGTGCCTGAGGCTCACCACACTGTCTGGATTTGGAAAAGACCGATAGTGTATTTTGGGTTTCCTTTTTCACCCCCAACAGCTACACCTTGCAGCGAGGTCTGTCTCCCTCCCATCCTGTATCAGTTATTCATTTTCCTGGGCAAGGCCAGTGCATTCATTAATTAGCACTAAAATATCAATGCAAGTAATAAATAATCCTTATGTTCTGACTAGAGCCATTAGCATGCTGGCTTTTGCTGGGAATGCAAAATTTCAAGATCCATTTTGCTCTCTCTGTATCAATATTATATATTAAATGTATATT